AAATATTATGTCGATAGTTGGACACTAATTTCTTCGGCCTGACTTTTACCGACAGGATCATCGAAAGTTAAAGTTCATTGAAAAATATTTCCTTGATAATTTCTATTTTGTTGATTATTTTATCAATAATATAATCACTGATAGATTTATAGATGGAATAAATATACCAAATAAAAAAATATTAGTACAAATATGTATATATTTTCATCGGTGATAATATATATCAATAATATATTGATTTAAACCAATTGATTCTATTTATAACAAGTCCTTAATATTAAACTTACCCCGTTCCTATTACTTTCTAAATTTCCAACACATTACTAAAACTAGTAAATCTTTGGAAACTTACCTTACCACGTACCAAATCAAATTTAAACCTCTTCACCATCATTAGAATACCAAAATCAATACCATTCAAATCAAGTTTAGAAATTTACTTTCCATATACAAGTCTTTAATTTCTCAATTTTAACTCATATTTGTGTTATACACATCATAATTTACAAATAATTAATATAATTTATCATTTCTCTTTAATATTCGCTTAAATTAGAAGGATTGTTGTGTTGACCCTCTTTTAAGATTCTTAGTTTTAAACGGTTTTTATTTTAAATAAACTGATGAGTTGTTAATATATTTTTATATTTATAATTAATTATGAGTTGTAATATCAGACCTAGTTATGAGAGTCTTTATTATTTTTTATTAGGTAATGGGGTGGATGGCCAACTCAATTTTAAAAAAAAAAAACACGTCATACATAGATTTTAGGTATTGTAATAATTGGAAAATTAGGGTGATTGGTTTTTTTCTTCTAGAAATTTATTCTCAACCTAAAACACCAATAAATCACTATAATAACCTTTTTAAATCAATCATTAACATTCAAAAATTATTTTTTTTTTCTCAAATCTATTTTTTAAGCACTTTTAAGGTTAAAAAAAAACCTTTAAGTCAAACTTTTTTTTTATTATATGAAAGTATTTGGCATAAAAATTTAGTGTTTTGATAGCTTAGAATTGAAGAAATAATATTTTATATATATTGAATTCTAATATTTTTTTCTCTTTCCTCTCACGTAATAAAAATTGAAAATAATAAAATTAAATTTTATTACTGAAATACAATCGAAAAGAGCATCAAAGTCGATCACTAATTCTAGATGATTTAATGCAAAATCCACTATATATAGAAGAAGTTTTTGGCATACACAAGTTAAATTCCTCTCCATCGTCACCCCACTAAAATATTTTCCCAAAAATTTTCAATTCCCATATCTGACTACATGGCTAGAGTTCCCATCTTTGCTCCCAAATTCATGATCATTCTCTCACTCATCTTTTCCTTTTCCACAATTTTGGTCAATGGAGATCAAGATCACGAATTTGTGAGAAGCATGGACAGGAAGCTATTAGGGCTCAAGAAAGAAAAGCTCAGCCATTTCAAAGTATACTGGCATGACATCCTTACAGGCCCTAACCCTAGTTCCATCCAAGTTGTGCCACCATTGAACACTTCAATAACAGCTTTTGGGTTAGTGAGAATGATCGATAACCCTTTAACCTTAGGGCCTGAAATGAGCTCAAGGTTGGTAGGAAAGGCGCAAGGGTTTTATGCACAGGCATCACAACAAGATCTTGGCTTGTTAATGGCCATGAACCTTGCTTTTATTGAAGGTAAGTATAATGGTAGCACTAT